TCTGTCAGTCATTCAATCCCATTTTGACGTGTGGTGCAAGTTAGAAGCTAATTGGGCGTTTATTTTCTTTATTTCATGGTTGGGGTCAGTGTAAAGGTTATGCAAATAAATGTTGCTTTATTTTCATCTCATATGGGTAATTTCATTCTATTGCATGCATGCATGTGCATTTTTGATATTTTGGAATGGTTAGGGAATAATTTTGCACGAATTGCTTTAATTATCAGTATAAAAGTACTATCATTTATGTGGTAGAATACAATATTTATTTATTGCGCTATCTCACACAAACATGACAATTTATATTACATTAAAAATTTTATCTCTCAGAAAAATCAACTTACATGAATCACATTTAAGCGCATCTAGCGACATCTATTGTAAAAAAAGCATTTTCTTCGCAATAAAGATGCCACCTGGACGTCCTATAAAGAGACTTATTATTATAATACGATAAAATAAAATATTACTATGTTTCGTCGAATATATTGAATTAATCTTAATTAATAAGTCTCATATTAATTAAGATTAATTCAATATATTCGTATAAATAATTAATTAATCTTTCCAATTTTAATGTTTTCGTCTTACGAATTTTCGATTAGGCCATGTTTCCGGACGCGATCAGGCCACGTGTCTTGACGCGAGTTTAACATTTATTACCCATACAAAAAAAAGTGTAAGTACAACGCCGCTAAAGAAGAATTCACTTAAAAAAATATTACATCAATTAACACCCTAACCTAACCTAATCCTCTACCCGTGGAACCCTGGAACCTTACTCACATACAGAAATATAACACCACCGAATGTGCGATCGTTGAAGTTAAGCAATTTTCGCAATGGTCGGTCATTGGACGGGTGACCAAAAATCTTCTATATAGAGTTCCTCCGTGCTTCGGAAGGATGTTAAGCCGTTCATCCCTGCATTTGCAGTCGTTAGCACCCGCCGATCCGCATTGTGCCCGCGTGGTGGGCCATGGCCCAATCTCCCTAGACCATCCATAGGGAAGGCCTGTGCCCCAGCAGTGGGGCCATTAATAGGCTGATGATGACATATCTATAGACAATTAAGCCGATAGGCGCAGGGTGCGAATATTGTTTAGTATAATGAAATTAAAAATGATTAACTTTTTGATCAATGCGTTTTTTTTACCATTTCAAACGAATAGGTGTGTTAAAATTCACAAAAAAAAACTTTAAAAAAGAGTCTGTAATTCGTGAGTAGAATAATAGTATAGAAGAAGCAAAAGTGTATTTTTCTACAAATAAATTTTCATAAATAGGTGCAGTTTATACAGTTATGTAACCTGCTGTTGTTTTTTTTTTCACCTTAAGTCAGCTTACACTCCAGTTTAATTGTCATACCGACACAAGCCAATCTTAGAAAGTCTAAATTTATTGTTCTGATAATCCTTAAAAATACAAATAATTTTTTTAAAGATCGTTTCTTTCAAGTCGGTTAAAAAGATATAGCCAATCGCTAAATTAAATGTCAAATCACTACCGCTTCCGCCTATAATTTGAGTCATACGTGCATTCCTGTTTCTTTCATAAAGTCACTAGATATAGACAGTGTTCTACACACATGAACTACTTTTAATAGCAAAGGATATACCTACTGAACATGATATTTTGTTTGATCTGTGCAACTGAGTGGTTTAGGTATCGGTGTCTTAAAAACAGGCGCGATCTGAGAGTAATTTCAAGAATAGGTACCTATTTTAAACCTATTACTGTCAGGCGTGATATAATACAGTGCGATAGAGGTAACAACTATAGCTTTAGCACGAACCAATATCGAATTCGAATAGTTTGCGAGTGCGAAATGTTAATATTCTCGTTACGTCTGTTGTGGCGCTGCTTTTCAAGTTTCCATACTATTTGAATTCGTTATTGGTTCGTGCTAAGAATACAGTACCCCTAGCACGAACCATTATCGAATTCGAATAGTTTGCAAACCGAAATGTCAATGTCAAATTTTGTATGGAAACTTGAACAGCAGCGGCACAAAGTACGTAACGAGAACTAAAAATCAGTACACATTTGACAATGACATTTCGGACTCGCAAACGATACGAATTCGATATTGGTTCGTGCTAGGGGTACTGTAGCTTCCGCTGAATTTTGCGAATAAAAAATGCAAGATTCCGGGTTTCTTTCTCGACGAATTTCTCCTCGAAAATTAAATCTAAGTATGTAAAAGAAAATTCACCCATAAAATAATAAGTAAATACAAGGCCTCTATGTTTTGTTTTGTTTTTGTAAATGCTTATTCTAGAATTTCCACGCTAGACACTAAAATACGGCAAAAAATCATGTTCTTTTGTATGGCGGATTAAAATAAAATAAATAGGTATTTTATTTTCTAAAAAAACAGTACAATATGGCACATTATCAGTAAAAAAATCACTAGACAATGTTCTCAATATCGTAGCGCCATCACGGTAAATTGCTAATCAAACTGTAATTCGATACACATCTACCAGTTTTTGATACAAAACTTAATGCCTAATTTTTTAAATCTACCTACTCATAACATTCAAATTATTATTTGACACACATTTTTCTAGCTGATATACGAATAATATTTTAGATTTCACACTTTGCAAATAACATCGGCATGTGTCTAATTGTTAGGTTCGCATTATGATGGACTGGGAGCTAAATAAATAAATAAATATTTCCAACACTTACACCAATTAGCCTAGCCCCAAAGTAAGCACTATAAGGCTTGTGTTATGGGATGCTAGGGTAACGGATAGATTACATATACAGTACATAATATATAAGTATATTTACATAGAAATACATATTAAACATCCATGACTGGAGTACAAATACTCGTGTTCATCACACAAACATCTGCCCCCACCGGGATTCGAACCTGGGACCTCTCGAGTAGGCGACAACTTGAAACCCGCCGTTCATACCACTCGGCCACGGAGGTCGTCAAAAATAAAAATATTGAAAGCGTCATAATTATAGTCAATCTGGTGCCAGAGTCCAAGTTTATTTATTTTAATCTTTATCGACCAAAAATATACAAGCATGGTACAAACGGACTTAATGCTAATAGCATTCTCTCCCAGTCAACCTTTGAGAAAACAGAAAAACACAAGGGGCGGTATAAAGCTAAATATATGACATAATAAATCATATTAAATATATATACTAATTAACGTATACATACATATACAAAACCATCAAAAAAGAGAGTACTCCTTCCTTAAAGGCCGGCATCGCATATGTGATACTCCTGGTGTTGCAAGTGTGTTTTGTGTTTCATTAAGATTTAAATTTGTCTCGATGTCATCAATAATTTGTTTAATAGAAAAAAGTTCCGATATATCCTGTTCACCAGCTTTAGTATTTTCTTTAAATTGTATATCAACATTATTGATGTTGGGATCAGAATTTTCATCATTCATGGAAACGACATTACTTTCTCCATCTAATTGTGTTTAGTCGCCCTTTCCTTCATCTTCGAAGGAAAGGGCGACGGTGATCACTTTCCATCAGGTGAGCCGTCTGCTCGTATGCCCCTATAACATAAAAAAAAACATGCTTGGAAAGGAATATACATACATACAAATATACATTATACATATACGTACATCGTTCAATTGACGACACAGTATGAAATAAAACAGGAAGAAAAAAATAGCCCTTGCTGAGTTGCCCTTGCCGGTTCTTTTCAGTACAAGGTCTCCCACCGTAGATTTACGAACTGATGGCGCAGAGTTGACGTTCACAAGAGCTTGAAACAGCCTAAACTAAATAAATGATTTTGTGTTTACATACCACAATTTCATTTAAATATAGATACATATACTCATGATGATGATTAATAAAGTGACTTTTAATAATCACAAATGCCTATTGTGATAATTTATTTTTCATCATTTAATAAAAAGGAACTTTATCACAGTTTCATTATAAGTACTTCGTATAGGATTAGATACTTGATAGGTAGTCCATTTTTTCTTTTCCTCCTAGATTCTATTTACGTTTATAAACACCAAAATTCATCAAAATTTCTTGTCCCACCATTCCCGCAGTCTACTTCTGCATAGTACAGCGCGCTATCACTTTGTCATCGTTGTAACTTTTTAAATATTTCTCGAAATAACATAGTGTTACAGCCAAAGTTTATCGTCTTTAAATATTAAAAGCTATTAAAGTATTTGTTTTGATAAAAAATAATTTGTTAATAAATACAAAATGTGCATTTAAGAAATGGATATAGAATAATATTTTATTTTTGATTCATTTTAGCGATAATGGCTATACATAAAAAATAGATATATGCTGCAAAAATAAATAGAACTATTTAAGAGATATTCATGTAACTTTTATTGATTTTGCAGTGCAGGCCAAAATGGCTCTCAGATAGGAGACTTTTTCCGTCTTGCGTGACACTTACTGTTATATTTAAGAATTTAAAAAGTCCTGATAAAAATCCTGATATTTCGGAAAAAGTCCGGTCTTTTTGTTACGAAATGGTAATGGTACTTGTGACTAAAAAGTACTACACTCACTTAGTTACAATGGTATTTATATCAATATGTACTTTTATTATTCATATAATTAAAAAAAAAGGGCAATACGTAGATCCGGACAAAGTCCGCAATAGAGTCTAAAAGTCTGGACATGTCCGGACTAAGCCGCACGGATGGTAATCCTAGTCATGGTTTAAACATAACGCTGTTGCTGCAAACAAAAGTGACAGCATCAGTTTAAAACCCGGTTTTTTTTAAACTTCAGCGCATAAGGCGGTCAATGTCTACGATACGATTGGTCGGTCATTAAAATGGTGATAATTTTTTTACAAAGCATTTTAAATAAGTCTATATTTGTGTATGCAAATGGCAATATATAACGGTCCCTTATTAGTTGCAGCTGGTTTCTAATGCCGTTAATAAAAAAAAAGTTTTATTAATAGAAAATAATACTGCTTTTTGGTTGTTATTTATAAGTCCGTTTTCCCTTGTCCCCAGCACTGGCGCTCTGCGATTGGTCCAACCTACAAACCAGACGGCGCAACATGGCCCGTCGTCATTGCGGGCCAAAACAGCACACAGATAACTTCACACGAATCGGTAGCGTGGCCACATTCGAGTCCATAGACCTCATCCAAACTCTACGATCCATAGCCAACACCACAGAGTCTAGCATCAACTTAAAACCTATGCTCATGTCTACAGCGATGAACATGTTCTGCCACTACATGTGCAACGTGCGTTTCGACCCCGAAAACGACGTGGAATTCAAGAAAATCGTAGACCACTTCGACGAGATATTCTGGGAGATCAACCAGGGTTACGCTGTTGATTTTCTGCCTTGGCTGGAGCCTTTGTACAAGAAGCATATGGACAAACTCTCAGGCTGGTCTCAGGACATCCGCACCTTCATACTGTCAAGAATCGTCGAGCAGCGAGAGATGTCTTTGGACGTGGAAGGTCCTGAGAAGGATTTCCTAGATGGTCTACTTAGAGTTTTGCACGACGACCCGAGCGTCGACAGGAATACGATAATTTTCATGCTCGAAGACTTCCTGGGTGGACATTCTTCTGTGGGTAATCTAGTTATGTTGTGTCTAGCTGCTGTAGCGAGAGACCCAGAGGTTGGTAAGAAGATTAAAGCAGAAATCGATGGACATACTAAAGGAAAACGTGCAATTACATTATCTGACCGAAGCTCTTTGCCTTTTACTGAAGCTACGATTCTCGAATGTCTCAGATACGCTTCTTCACCCATCGTACCTCATGTGGCTACGGAGAACGCCTCAGTTGCTGGTTTCGGCGTTGAAAAGGGAACAGTAGTCTTCATTAACAACTACGAGCTTAACACATCTGAACAGTACTGGAGGGAACCCGAGAAATTTGACCCTTCCAGGTTTCTGGAAAGGACGAAGATCAGGGTGCGAAGGAACTCCCATTGCGACTCCGGCATGGAATCGGATAGTGAAAGAACGGGACCTATAGATAAAGCTACGGAGACAGAAAAAGAGGTTGTATCCGTGAGAAAGAACATACCACATTTCCTCCCCTTCAGCATCGGCAAGAGGACATGTATAGGCCAAACTTTAGTGACGACCATGAGCTTTGTCATGTTCGCTAGTATAATGCAAGAGTTTGATGTAGCAGCGGAGAATCTGGAGGACTTGAGGCAGAAACCGGCGTGTGTGGCATTGCCGAAAGACACTTTCAACCTATACCTTGTGCCTAGAAAACATTGAACCGTGCAAATACTGTTTTAAATGGAAATTCTCTTTTTTGTATTATAAACTCCTTGCTAGCATCGAGTCTTGTGCCTGCAGTATGTTTAAATAAAAAAAAACTATAATGTTGTTCTGAATTCAATATTTTCGAAAGTTTTTTTGTTTTGCACTAGTTACCAGTTGCACTAGATTTGTATTTTATTCACTTAGATCGAAATTTAAAAATAAAAAGTTTTATTTTTAAATTGATTCAGATTTTTTTTATTTATACGCAACGAGGCCAAGACATTTTGCCGGCGCGGAGATACGCTCAAAAACGTTAATTTATTTTATCAATGTTGATAGTATTAATTGTTCAGGGTTCAATTTTTAAGTGGCTGGAGTTCAAATGTGATCTCTTTTCAACTCTTTACTTAGATGCACTGCAAAAGACCTTACATTTGAAATGAAAAAAAATACGGATATTTTTTAATTTCGAAACGACTGCTTATTCTTTATTGGATTAATGATTGTATAATTTTAGGTTATTTACAATGTTATATATAGCTTATTTAATTGACTTCTTCTCTCTAAATAAACTTTTTCTACATATCTAGTTATTTATTATGTAAACATTATATCTTTAACACCTTGAAATATATAATTTATTTTGATTTACTTACAATATTATATAAATAATGAATTAAAAAAAAACTTTTTTAGCAAAAAATATTATTTGCCATTTTTTAATAAAGCACAGTTTTATTTCAAATGCGACGATGCAAAATATACACACACCAAAAAAATGACAATATCACTAATAAATCAAATTATAAGAATTAAAATATTTAAAATAGATCAGAAGTTCAAAAAAGTTTATTAAGTATTATTTTTTTTTTATTAGCTTGGACTCTTTTGATGAGTATATTAGTATTTTTCGACGCCGAAAATATTAGACGCCGAAAAAGTCAATTAAATATGTATTCATAGTCAAATATTGGATTCAATTCTGTGCCACCTGAACTTAACTTTGAGTACATCTTTCTCTTTCTTTTAGAGTACAAAAAAGATAGAGAAACAAGCAACGACAAAATTATTCTAGTTGCTCCCCTCAAATTTAGACTAATTTTTCGTTACAATACATTTTAAAACATAACAGGATGCAGAATTTAGATTTAAATACGATACTAGTTTTAATGTATTTATTAGACATACAGCATAAACCGAGCATTTAGTTCTTATTTTGTACAAAATTAGGATTTGATTTTTTTTATGCACAAAAGTTAAAGTGGTTTGCATTTACGAAGAAACTTTTTGATAACAACGCAGGAAGTTTCCAATGGTTTCTTTAGCTGTAATGATGTACGTAATCTTAAATAAATGATTGTCGTCGAGTCAGTCGACAGTCTCTTCAGTCGAGTGAAGCGAGACCAATCATTCATATATGGATGTAATAATATATGTACTTAAAAAAAAAATAGAAGTATTTAACTCACATGTCCAATTGTCCAAGATATTATATATATGTAATAATTATTAAGTCAATTGTAGCGAAATTGAAACAAAACGAGATAGCAATTTAATTTTTGAAGGTCTGAGGCACTATTTTTATAAATAGAATATCCAAAAAGTCTGTAGAGTCTCTGTGCGGAAAGAGAATGGGATTTAGATTGCAGGGCGCTGTAGTGCCTTTCTACCGTATTTGTTAGGTTTACCCCCTTTAAACATGATTAAATACAAATAACCGCAAGAAATCACAACAACAAACAAATCCGTATCAATACAAAACTTTGACGTTTTACAGATTGCTGGGTTTGATTGCCAAATAAAAATCTTAATGTTAGTTCCGTTTTTCGCCACGCCCATTCTCTTTCCGCACAGACTCTATTAGCTTATTAGTAAATGCAAAAGGATGATTGAGTTTTGAAAGGATTTCAGTAAAAAATAAACATTTCTCCTCAACAACGTAACCTTGTTCTTTTTGTTAGAATTCGGTAAGGTTCGTTTTTAATACTGGAATCTTCTCTTGAGACAATTTAATAGGCATATAGGTAGACCGTATCTATTATTTTTTCAGATATTATTATATTAGTTTTTTTATCACTAAATAAAAATCAAAAATTGTGTTTTGTCATGTCACAGAATACAGTAAAATAGTTTTATGTGCAAATGTTAGCTTGATTGGATTACGTTTATATACAAGTTTTTTTTACTGATTTTATATTTTGATTTGAATTTATTTAAAACATTTAGCTGTAAAATGAAGCATTCATGGTTGTATAAGTAATAATGTTTGATTCAATTTGTGGATAATTATCTTCATAAATGAATTTATGCACGGTTATAGAGTTATGTATGTAGAGCGAACAAAAAATATGTATTTGATGAATAATCATTATTTGCTTACAATAATAATCTGTTTTATTAGGTAATTAATTTTTAAAGATCCTCATTTTTGTTCATATCGATCAATACAACTGCGTCGTATTTTATTGTAAAAATTGTTTGTACTTATTCATAATAATTATAATTTTTTTTAAATGAAATTATAGTGTTTAGTAGTTATTTGCAATTTACACACATTTGTTTTATTTCAAACAATTTAGTATTCATTCTCAACAATGTCAAGGTACCTAAGTGTCGCCGCACACAGGCCACACGCCACAGCCACAAACGCCGCCACGAGAAGCTAGAAGCGGCTACTAAAGCGACTGAAGCGCGCGACAGCGCTGACAGATTTAAACATCGAGCAGTTACATGCTTAAAAAGTAAAACTTATATCCATAGTAATTTGACAATTGAGCGTGATAAAAACGCGTTATATATCATATCGTGGTGCTCAAGCTAGGGGTGCTGGTACCTATAAGTGTGCAATGGTTTACAGCCGGTCTATTCGCAAACTTTTTTAATATTTACAGTGTGTGACTTAGTGTCACCGCACACCGGCTACACGCCACAGCCACAAACGCCGCCACGAGAAGCTAGAAGCGGCTACTAAAGTGGCCCGTGTGTGGCGACACTAAATACTTAAAATCCCGATCCATATTTATAATATGAACTCTGAAGGGTGTCTGTCTATGAAAGTAACCTCCACCATACAGGAGAGCACAGTAAAATAACACTACCTTTTGGTGTTTTTTTTTCGAGTGTATGCTGTTGGTCGCAGATGACCTTTACCGCGTCACCGGGTTTGGGGACGGCGAGATCCTAAGGGGACCTCATGCCGAGAATTGGTGAGTGCCTCTAGAGGTATTCCAGACGGATGGCATCTCCCCACGGGGGGAGTCTCCTCTCCGTCTGGAGCCTCTAGACCACTCGACAGGGTCCACCCTTTTGGTTGTGTTGTGTTTCTGTCGATGAGTAAGGTTCCAGGGCTCCACGGGGTAGTGGAATGGATCAGGGTAGGCAAAGGGCCGAGTGATAGCTTTGCTATCGCAAGCGTCTATACTTCTTTAGGCTATACTGGTCGCTTAACATCAGGCGGGCTATAGAAATGCTTGTTTCTACCCTTTTAACATAAAAAAAATCATCAAAGGACTTCTCTAATGGGAATCCTGCGGACACTAGTAGAGGTCTGCAGCAATATCCGGGGACTGCTGAGTTTTCTGGAGGTGCTGGGATATCAGGACTGATGCCAATCCCCACACAAAATAGGCACTGGGTGTCAAGTTGCGGAAATAGCCCGCCGTACTAGGTACTAAGACTAAGACAACACTGAAGGCGAAAGATCGTGCGGTCGTTCCCCAACAAGAAGACCGATCAAATTAAAGATTAGTCCTCTCCTCATCCAAATTTTATGCATTGGTAAGAGAGGCGATTGACAGAAACTGGTGGAAGTAGATCTTCTGCTCCAGACGCACTCCTGCTGCTGACCACGATGCTCAGACACGAGGGACTGACCCCAGAGAGAGAGAGAGTAAAGGCTTATCATTTAACAGGGCCACTTATTATTATTTTTCATTTTTGGGGCTATGCAGTCCTAATGGAACTGTAGTCAATGCGACCTAAAAGATCTCTAATGATTCGCCACCAAGTTAAAGTATCTCTTTTAGCCCGAAGGCTTCTAAAATTTATATAAATATAGCGTTTTATATGTCGTCCCAGATAGTAGCCAAGTAGCCAGAAGCCCAAGATCGATCTGAGTGGCGTGCATTTGGGGAGGCCTATATCCAGCAGTGGACTATGATAGGCTGTTGATGATGATGATGATGATGTCGTCCCAGATGAATACTACGTTTGTGGATAAGAGGCTCACATTCAATCATTCCATCACAAAAAGGGTGTTTTCGCGTTTCACGTTCCTGATTGCAGTATCTGCGAACATCAGTGTGACTTAATTTCATATGAAATTGTTGTCTGTTGAGTTTGCAGTGTCCAGTAACAGGGTCACTTTGGCAATTATGTTGGACGATAGACTTACAACCTGCGATAGTGACTTTGCCAACCCCCTAAGGGACATAAATGGCGGTAATGAACAGAGCACTTGCAACATTACCCTAGCGTCCTCTTGTATGTGAGCCGTCAAAAACACGGGTGCATGTTTTGTGCAGCGCACGCAACGAAAGGTACGGAGCAGTGTTTCCACAATGAGGGGAAATTCCCCTTTTAAGGGGGAATCAGGGTCCAGAGGGGAAGAAAAAGGGGAAATTGCGGGAAATTATGGGTAAAGCCTAGCCTAAAATAATGCGGCACGGAACAATTTTTTTATGGACTATACCGTGGACTAGAGTGTTGCCGTATAAAAGAAACTGTGGCAACACGTGCAGATTTTATATATTTTATTTATATGTTATAGAATAAGATAGATTGAGACCTTTTTTTTCTTCAGTTACTATACTAGTGCCATATCTAAAAACTACAGCAGAATCATTATTGAGGGGGAAAATGCCCTAAGAAGGGGAAGTCTGAATTGAGGCATGGGGAAAGGAAATCATTAAAGTGGAAACACTGGTACGGAGCTTTAGCTTTACGCTTAGCACGAACCATGAAGGTTGGAGAGAAGGAGAACGATTGAAGTAGAAAATAGTATCCCAGAAATATGGACAAAATAAGTGAGGCGCTGCGATCGCTAAATTGGCTCATTAAAAGCGGGCTTTTGTGCGCTAATTGAAATGACCAATGCCGCGAAGAACATTTGTACATTATTCAACTAACTTCATCTACTTGTACTTATAAACAGCTAACTTCACAGATACTACTTACCGACGGCAGCGCGGCTGGTGGCTGAAAAATGAACTATAAATTTTACAAAATTTCAGGGACTGGCGGGCTAATGCTTTAGTACGTAGCGATCGTTCTCCTTCTCTCTAACCTCCATGGCACGAACCTATATCGAATTCCAATAGTTTGTGAATGCGCAATGTCATTGTCAAATCTTGTATGAAAACTTGAACAGCAGCGCCCACAAGGGGCATAACGAGAACTAAAAATCAGTACACATTTGATGTATTATAAAATAGATCGAATTCAACTATTCCAATTCAATAGTGGTTCGTGCTGGGGTAATGTTAATGGGGGTCGTTTTATATAGCCTTCCTAAATAAATGGGCTATCTATCACATACAGAATTTTTCAATTTGAATCAGTAATTCCGGAGATTAGCGCGTTCAAGCAAACAAACAAATTCTTCAGCTATATAATAAGGTAAACATTTATCTGAAACTGAAAAGCCTCTGAAATTACTTCCTTTAAAGACGTAAAGAAAATACTTTGCCGTTTATTCTTTGACAGGCTTTTAAGAATTTTCTTTTTGAACACTTTAGGTAGCGGAAACTTCTTTAGCAAATCACAGACGAATAAAGAGTAGAAGATGTTTTTATAAGATTTATGTGTGTAAAATTGCTTCTGCGCAAGCACTAATGATGTAAAAGGGGAAAAGTGGAAAATAGGTCTTGGTCAAAGGTTTGACTGGCTTCACAGACTCTGGCGAAACCCGGAATAACTAACTAACTAACGCAACAAGGTGATGTTGTGTGTATGGGATTGGAAGGGCATTATTCATTATGAGTTGTTACCGCCAGGCAGGACCATCGAATCTGAACTCTACTGCGAACAACTGATGAAATTAAAGCAAGAAATTGAGAGAAAGCGTCGGAATTAATCATCAGAAGAGGTGTGGTTTTTCATCATGATAACGATAGACATCACACATCTTTAGCCACTCAGAAAAAATTAAGAGAGTTTAATTGGGAGATGTTTATATATCCACTGTATAGTCCTGACCTTGCACCCTCAGATTTCTACCTGTTTCGGTCTTTTCAGAATTCTTTAGGCAGTGTCAGATTTCAGGCAGCGGTGACTGCCGGTCTTCGACGGCCCTAAGGTGGCCTGGGCGCGGCCTGACCAGCCGCGCGCCCTAGGTGCCGCTCCGGCATAGGCCACCACGTCTGGGGACTGCCTAGTACCCTAGCGCAGTCCCCCTGAGGCGCGTCGCCCGGTCCACTCGTTGGGCCGGGCCTGCCCGGGGGCTTGCTCGGAGATGTGGCGCACGCAGGTGCGTCGGCCCCGAGACTGCCCCCATATGGGCGTAGGAGGGTACCGGGGGGTTTTAGTGGAGTAGGATCAGTGTGGCCTTCCGCACTGGTCCTGCTTGAGTAGGGTCGGCACTGTTTCCCGTGCCGGCGAGTCCCACACACGCCGTGCGCCTAGTCAGCGTCACGGTATGGT